TTAACTCCTGATTTCAGGAACAGTGTTCATTAATATTCTTGGTAACCATCTGGAAGTTATTTGCCAATCTGGTTTTACCGCTGACAAAATTCACCAGACCCAACTTTGCCTGGCTTCTGAACTCAAATAAAGTTGGATGGTTGCTTCTGTCTGATGATTATCAATTGGATAGTAAGCTGAGTTTATTGTAGTTCCTTCACATAGATGTATTACATAGCCAAAATTACTTAATGCAATTTAAGTTGGGCGATCTCAAAAACTTCCAAAATCTACAATTACTCCTGAATGTAGTAACTAGTCTGCTTATAGCTGGTGTGGTATTATTCCATGATTGTTGAATGTCGGAGGCCCCCATTTTGTTAACAAGATAATAAAAAAGTACAGCCATGCCCTATATTATTTGAATTCGTAATCTATTAGTAATTGCTTACTCTCACACAAACAAACTTGTTTTACGTTATAGTGGTGCCGAGGTGGCCAATGTGTGAAATATGGTGATGAAGGACCAAAGCCAATCCACGGACATTGGTCTGAGTGGTCCAGCTGGTCATCCTGTTCTAGAACCTGTGGAGGAGGTATATCTCATCGAGAACGAAACTGTTCTAATCCAAGGTGACTGAGTGTTTCCTTGTTTCAGGTCTAAGCACTTTGAGATGCGATCTAAATTGTTAAAGCTAAATAATAAACTATTAATGGTATGAACAACTATTTTAAAAGTAGCTCAGAATTACGACAAAATGCTGGACTTCCAAAAAATGCCCTGGTTTTATTTCTTTGTTGAAATAATAGTTTATTCATCTGGCCATGGATCCTCTTCTGCAGAAGAGTGTGTTTTACTTGAAGGTTTTGTAAAGGCAGAACCTTTAATATGAAGTAATCCTATTTTGTTCAAAAATAAAAAGCAGAAGGGAATTTGAGGGACTTGAAGCTAATATCTGAGAAGGTGGCTAAGCAGGCATACAAATCATTGCTGTACAGGATTACAAATTTGTTGTTAGTGCTTGATTCTAAATTCTAAATTCTTGTCTTGAAAATCCACTCAAATGCTTCCCTGTTATATCTCCCTATAATTTTAAATATACATTTCTGTCCTTAGTTAAGTGCCCAGCACTGTCCATTGCTCTGCACATGCATTGTTACTTGTGAACGAGAATTAGATTCAGAGGTGCAAGTAGAATAAAGAGGCAATAGCAATAGCAATAGCAANGGAACAGCTTGCCTCCAGAAGTTGTGACGGCCCCAACACTGGAAGTCTTTAAGAAGATGTTGGATAGCCATTTCTCTGAAACGGTATAGGGTTTCCTGCCTAGGCAGAAGGTTGGACTAGAAGACCTCCAAGGTCCCTTCCAATTCTGCTATTGTATTGTATTGATAGTATTCCATTTAAGCCGGGGTATAGACTGGATGAACTGAATTAGATGATATTCTTTGGTTAAAGATGACATTCTTTGGTTAAAGAGCAGAAACAGTAAGAAAGATTCCTGAAAACTGTTAAGGTGTTTGATCACTGACAGAGAAAGAGAACTGCAGTTTTGTTCTCAGAGGTTGTAAAACTGAGAGCAAGGTCTCTTCACGGTTTACATATTCAAATAAATAAATTATACATTCCAAAGAACTGTACAAGAAGATAGATTTAGCTCTCTTACAGTAGCCTTTTCAACCTGGTGGCGTCCAACCCAGAGTGCAAATCCCTGAATGCCAGCTTGGGAATTTTATAAGTTGCTGATTCCAAACCATTTGGAATGTCTCTGCTTTGAAGTATGGGCTGAAACGACCAACCTTTAAGAAAACAAAAACTGCCATTCAAAAGAAAGAGAAATAACGCATCTGGAAAGCAATTCCTGAGATAACACAATCTACAACTCATTTTTAAGCACGTGGCCTTAGAAATTCCTTCTAATTACCCTTACTTACTGCTTTACCTTTGGATATTCCAGAACACCTATTCACTTACGAGCGTATTTGTCAGGAGTTGTCGTTGCTCGCCTTTCATTAGCACCAGCCTGACAGAACCGCACCTCAGGATACGCATGCTACCTCCCCGTGGAGAAAGAGTTAAAAAGCCTGGGAAGTTGCCTGGAATCCAGGTTTGTTTATCATCAGTTTCTCTCTCGCTCGACAGGTTCTTCTAGCAGCAACAGCCGCTCTCCGCGCCCGGAATCTAGGCGGGGCCATCCTTCGAACCTTGCCCGTCGCATAAAAAGCGCAGCGCCTGTTCCGCCGCCTTCTCCCAGGCGCAAAGCCCGGCCCGTGGACATTGGCCTTAAAGGGGAACCCCAAGCCACTTTTCCTGCTTTCTCTCCTCTCCCTCGCCTGAAATCTGTACGGTCAAAATGTTCAGGTGCGGCCTGGCCTGCTGGAGGTGCAGATGGATCCTGCCCCTTCTTTTGGGGATAGCCATCATCTTTGGCATCATCGCCTTGGCTGGCAAGGGGTGGCTGGAGTCGGCCCAAGCCCCCTACGCGCGTAAAGCCGGGTTGTGGTGGGACTGTATCAAAAACAAACCCGACGATGTGGACTGGATGTGCAGTTCTCTCATGGACTACAGTAAGTCTTGGCGAGCGGCGTGCATTATTAAACCTACAGGGAGTTTGCTCAAGTCTCGCTTTATTCAGCCGGTGTGGGGAGGGCGGGCTACGATGGTGAAAAGGTCAGAATTAAGTCGAAAAATGTATCCGGGAACAAACTTCCCCGGAAGACAACAGTTTGCAAAGGGCGCATAGGTTCACATTACGTAAATGGCGTCAAGCTCGCCTTTATGCAAAACTAGTAGCCCGGTGAGAAACAGATAGTGAACAGAAACCGGACTGCTATTCAATAGAGGACTAGATCCCAAAGCGAGACGCAAGTGGAAATCGTTAGGTAACAGGCAGGCCATGAGGCCATTATAGATTGCTGTATGGAGGATTTTAAGATGCAGCAAGGCGAATTGCAACATCAACCCAAAATTACTCATTGAAACTAGTTGGAAAGGCTCTGGATCAAACTGGTTGCCACACCTTTGACTCATCCAAACTTGACGAGCTTTGCTCATAGTTCAATGCACAAGAAGGCGAGTCTTTGACTGTATTTCTGCTCTTCATCACAAATCCTAACCTTCCGTCAGAGCAGGAGAAGCAAATGGCCTTTGTGCTTTCGGAAGGGGTGGGCGACAAAATATCCCTTTGCCCTGACTTGCTGGTTGTAACTTGATACCAAATCAGCGTGTAATCTGTTTTTTTTTAACTGAGCTGGAATTGAACTATGGCCAAATAGGGGAAGATCTGCAGCGCTTTGCAAGCCTTTTGTAGTTAAGGGAAAAAAACATACCCAGAAGTTAAATTATTATTGTAGTAGGCTTCGTGTGATACATTAACTTAGATTTCCTCAGGTTGATGCCTCCAGAAATGTTGGAGTGGCAATTACGAAGATTTTCAGACAGCAAAGTATATTTGGGATCCCAAAACATCTGGAGGGTGCCAATTACAGAAGATTGAGTGTGTGTAAAATGGTGCCTTAAGAACTAATGGGATAACAAAGCATATTGGTGTTGCGGAAGAGGAACTTAGGTGCTGCCGAGCATGTCCTTTAGAGATGTTTTATTTTTAAACTTATTGGAAAAGTCAAAGTGACAATTGCATTTGTTCCTTTATATAAAGAATAGGTATAATATGTACTTCAAATGCAAGATATTTAGCTTGTGTGTTTCTTAAAATGTAATAGAAATGTTTTTTGTCTAATTCTTACCTATACTTCTATTGCCTTGACAAAAATAATAATAAAGAATTGGTTATTTAAGCAAGAGGAAATGTTTATATTAATTACATAAACTGAGGAGCCCTAACACTTATAGTCTGACTACTAGAGGAAATAAATACTTAATGTTCCCATTTTCCTTTCCCTCTGGGGAAGGAGAATAGTTTTGACTAAACACACTATAATAGGGGATTTGGGCCAGTCATTCTTGGGACAGCTGAATCTACCTCACAGACTTGTTTTGTAGATAAAATAGAGAGAGAGACCTCTATAGAAGCCAGCTTAAAAGTCTGGTGGAAAGTTAATATAATATGGTGTGCTATTTAGTCATCCTTGATAATTTTGTGAGGAGTGTCTAAAAATTCTGGAATGAATCCTTCCCAAACAAGATATCAGCTGCATAGAACTTCCTGGAATCAAATTTGCCTTAATTGAAATCATGTAAAGCAAATAAAACACAGACGGTTCATGTAACCATCCATGCATGAAAAAAAGGGAAATAAAAACAACTATCCCACCTTTTTTGCAACACTGCCCTAAGTTAAATGTGTTTAACTGCTTACAAGTTGTGTATATTTGGGCTCTCTAAACATAATTAGCTATCAAATATGGATAATATGGGAAAATCTAGGATTTAGAATCCAGAGGTTCAGTTATTCAATTTGGAAACAAAATAAATAAATAAATGGAAGAGATTTTGAATACTTGGGTAAATGGAAAATATTTGAACATAGATTTATTTATTTATTTAAATTTAGACTTGTGAGAGAAGCCAAACTGCTATTTCAGATTGATTTTTTTTAAGACCCAGTGATTAAACATTGGCCTGTCTTACTTTTTATATGTGTTTTGTAAAGAATATTTAGATAGAAAGATGATGATACATTCAACATGAACTGGGAATGGAATGAACATTAAGCTGGCTAAGATTAATGTGTCACAATAAATCAGTTAATTGGTAATTGCAAAATTTCAGCAATTACCTGAATGAAGAACTTGCTTACAATTTGTATCATTATTTCTTTTTTTTAAAAAATGAGAATGTAAGAGGAAGACTTAATACCTATAATGATGTTACTCAGATTAAAAATTGCAAGTAATTCATACATTGGTTTTATTCACCCTTTTGCTTAAAGGGAAGCTACCTTGGAGAATCACTTGTTAATGGCAGACTTGCATTGGGCACAAATTCTTATTCAAGATTGTACTTGTTAAGTATTAATGTTGCACAGAATACAGAAAAGAGCCACACCCTATGCACTGATGAGGAAGGAATTCTTTGTTTGGAATGATAATTAAATTGCAGAGGTTGTAATTCAGATTTGCTTCAAGATCAAACTAGATGTAACATGGAGTCCTATATCTTTTCCGTATGTATGTATGTATGTATGTATGTATGTATGTATGTATGTATGTATGTATGTATGTATGTATATTGCATTAAAGAATAGCTTCTTTCCAAAAACTGTTTGTCACAGAAATTAGAATGTAGGAACATGGAATACATGAGAGACAAACCTTTTATTTTTAATACTGTGGCTGTCATCTCCGGATGGAAAATAGAAAAAAACTACAATCATTTTTCCCCATAGAATGAAAGGGACATAGATTTGTAATGGTATCCCATCCCATCCATCACTCGACACTTTCCAGGCACAAGAGAGCTTGGATGTTTTCTGATGGTTCACTGATGATGTTATTTTGGTTTGGTAATGAAAGTCTGCAAGAAAGCAACCAAGCTCAGAGAGCACCAAGGACCCTTCATTTCAAATCTGAGTTATAAATATTTTCCTCTATTGCTAATTGCTTTTTAAAATGTGCAAATGTCAGAGTGGTATTAAAATCCTATGATTAGCAAACACAACTTAAATCCAGTATGAAAAAGTGGATCCCATCAGCAAAATCAGATTATAAAATGAAATTGTAATTAACTGTTGCCTGAATTTTACAGGAGTGATGTCATCATAAACTTTTCTAATCACCTATTCTGATAAAGATCAGGTTTATATAATCTGATTTGCTGTATTTTTTACCCTTAAAAATAATTTGTTAGAATCATTATACAGTAGCTGTAAATGATGATTCCTCAGCCAACAATCATAGGTAAGGGATTAGGAGATCTAATCTCTATGGGATCTCTCTCTCTCTATTACTCTATGGTTTTGCTTCCTCTTTCCATACCGGATAATACCATCTTTAATATTAATTCTGAATTTAAAAACTGCTTTCTTTTTTCCTTTAATGTGCAAAACTATTGAACCATTGAATGACAAAGGGAGTCAAATATAATTAAAAGAGAATTTTTCATAGAAAAAAGTACAATATAAGATGGCGTATGACAAAACTAAGATTTTCAGTAAGAAATTAGGGATTACAATAAATAGAGAAACAGATTAAATTCTGTTTAGTAAAATGAAAAAATGATTTAAATAAATTAGATATGGTGATCTGAGAAAATATTAAGATTGGTCCCTAAAGAAATGAGAATGAGCAAGTATGGCACCAAATAAAGGGTATGTTTGACACTGAGGTAATCAAGTGGTTAAAACAGTGGATTTAAGATTCAGTGCCTGCATGATCAGGTGAATTCAAACACTCTTGGTCAACAAATAAATACTATGTCCACTGTTGGGTGCTACAGGTCAAAAAGGATAGTGGCAATTGTTTTTCATAATGGAGGATAGAGAATCTATAATCAAATGAGTACTATGATTTATTCATAAATGTTTTGGAAGTGACCAAATCGTCTGAGGATCAAGGAGAGAAACCAGAAAATCCCAAAAGAATGTCTTCAAATCTAGAGGATGAACAAATGTAATTTAGTGTAAAGTAATACATATGGAAGGTTTTTTAAATGTTATATTTACATTTGTAAGGTTGTAAGCAAGGGATCATTAACCGAGAGAGGATTCTTGGGATTATGATGGATAAACATGTATATTTAGTACAATCTTCCCCAATGTGACCAATCTGACCTGAAGCTTTCTGAGAATTATCCTGAATTCTCTGCTGTAATGAAGAAAGCTGGGAAATCCTGGGTGTTGAAGTCCACTTGTCTAGAAGATGATGGGGTTATGATTGCTGTGGAAAGTAAAGTCCATATTAGGAATTGTAGGGGAAAGAACCAAGATACAATTTTATTGCATTTGTATTAATTAGAAGTATAACCTAGAGCAGGGGTGTCAAACTCAATTTCATTGAGGGCCACATCAGGGCTGTGATTGACCTCGGGGGGGGGGCTGGATAGGCATCGCGGATTGGGTGGGTATAACTGCCTGAGTGGGCATGGCCATCTGGGTGGGTGTGGCCAGCTTGACGCCACTCCCCAAACTGCTGGCATGTTTCCTCTTTGCATTGGGTAGCCCGGGCCAAAGCCAACTGGCCTGATCATTCCCCTTTGCATTGGGTTATACTT